AATAGTTTTGGAGATAATAAACGATAATATTTTAAATTACTTTTCATATAACGATTCTTGAAAATTCATTTCTCTGACATTATCGGACAAAATTCAATGAATTTTAAAACTTTAATGTCACAAAGTGGACTTTTTTATCAATGGTACAATTATAAAAAGAAAAAAAACAATTTGTTCAGTTAGTTTTAAAAAAACTGTAGTATTTACAGCTTTAGGACATCCTTAAAACATTTATAGAGGTCAAGGTGGATTTCTGCAGTTGACCTTCAAATAACCTTGAAGGCCAAAGTCAAGGTCAAAGGTCATGATTAAGTACCGTGATGAAAGTTCCATCGACTTTGGTAGTAAATCTTATTGCGGGATTACTTCAGGGATGACGAATCATTTGAATTCGCTGTGACCTTCAAATTGACCGCAAGGTCAAAGTTGAGATCACATCCGGATGTAAAATTTTCTGCAGGGTAAAAAATAGAGGGTCCCATTTAAAGTTATGAAATTGACCTTCAATTGATCTTCAAGGTCACAGTTAAGGTCAATGAATCTATTTGTGAAAATAGTATTAGTTTTGAATGAAATATTTATACATAAAGTAAAACCTACACAACAAATAAGTATATATTTTTTAAATATACTGAAATGAATACACTGTATCTCAAGAAACGACACCGAGTAATAGCAGAGAAAATTTCATGAAATTATAATGTAGACTCTAAGAAAGACATAAATTACTTTTAAAGAAAAATAAAAATCTCCTTTCATAGTTATTTCATATAAAAACTAAAACATTATCAGTCAAAATTTAACTAATACATTGTAAACGAGAAGCATGTCAAGAAAATAAAGTTTAGGTTCGAAGTAGAAGCATGAAAGTAAAAGAAAAATGCCACAAGAAGGGCCAATTTAACAATTTTACGAATAACTAAACGTTAAATAATCTAGTACAAAAGAAAATTCAAATATTATAGTATCAGAAAACACATAGGCTAGAAGTTTGTTATAAAAATTTGTCATGCAGAATGTCATATAAAAA